ACACGTAAGTAACCAATGTCAAGATGAACCTTGGTGATAGGGACGGATAGATGTGCTTGGGTGTATTTGAAGATTTTGAATTATTATTCATTAATGAATAACTTATTACTTTTACGGACTTGAATCCCAAGTTTTGTTTTAAACAATGACTTAAGCTTCCATATTACTTTTAATTACTCTGAGGAATTCTTAAATTATATTTTGAGTTTATTTATTCTAAACTGTTTTGAAAATGCATTGTGTTTAGATACCTGTTTAGTAGCAACCCGGTTTGCTAGCCTAAGTATTCGAGTTATAAAGGTGGGGGTGTGAAAATTTTAGTTATCGTTCAAACAGACAAGGAATTAAGGTTTGTCTATACTTACCTCAAGTCCACGTATGTTATAGGTGTTCGTTAATTTTGGTTATCTATAACAATTTTTATGATACTTTAATTTTATAAAGTTTTATTAATTTAAATGTTAATTATATTATGTACTATGTATTTAATAAATGTTTGATAATAAAAACATTTCTTGTATAGTTTTTGTATTAGAGCAATAAAGCCTAAGAGCACTGGTAATGGTCTTGAAGCCTCGGGGCTTCAAACATTCTCTCTCTTTGCCACATCAGCTTTAACTTACCCTAAAATTTCACTGGAAATGGGTTTGAAGCCCCGGGGCTTCAAACCTCTATTTTTTATATTTTTAAATATACATTTTCTAAAATTAAATTAATAACGTTTTATCAATTAATTGAATTTAAATGAAAATAAATTATTAAATAAAAAATCAATAAAAGGTAAATTAACCAAATAAGATTTGAGTAATGAAAACAAAAATATAAAAAATTATATTACTTTATGAAGAAATTACTGATTATTCAAGCGACTAAATATATCTTCACTCAAATCAGGGTTGTAGTAACATATTGCAAACTGAAATAATACATTAATTAAAAAATACAGTCAATAAAAAAGTATGTTAAATTTAAAAAACAACAACAAAATTACATTACGAAAGAAAATTTAAACAAAAAGTATTACATTAAACAATAAAATATAGAGTAAAAAAATTATGTTTGTGTTTGTTTTATTTTTTTAAAAAGAAAGAATATAAAGAGTAAAAAAAATATTTAGTCTTATGGCATTTATGTAATTTTTGTTGTTTTTTAATGAATAAAGCCTGTTAAACGTTTGAAGCATAAAGTATGAAGCCCCTTTGAAGCCCGTCAAACACCGCCCCTTTGGCATTAAAAGGAGCAATAACGCCCCGAGCGTTATGTCCATTACCAGTGCTCTAAGAGTTAGAAAATTACATAGGACTTCAAGTTTTATCAACAATGATTGGGCGGGCCTACCACTACATAATCTTTTGACTGAAATTGAGTTTGATGAAGTGACATCCACATGACAAAAAATGTACTAAATGGGTTTGAACCACTACGCGTGGTTTATTAAAAAGATAAAGATATGTGTTGTAGTGGGTGTGTAGCAGAATGATTGAGTATGAAGATATGAATTACTTTGATTGAAAGTGGTCACGCCGTGACGCCCTCATTCATGCTTGGGGTCAAGCCGCACCACAGATTGTCTAAGAATATAGAAATACTTCCAAAAATCATTTTAGCCATTCCAAACGGAGCCTCAAATTTGAAAATGAAAGTGATTAGTAACTCTTTTGAAATGTTACAGTATTTATTAAATTAGGGAGTGTTATTTTTCTCATTTTTATGTATCAACATCATTATACTCCGTATTACATGCGTATATAATTAAAAAAATCAATTGTTTTTCAACCATGCTAGGGGTACACCAAAAAAGTGTATCCCAAATTATAACCCAAAAGGATGTACTAGTATTTTAACGGTTCATACTGGCATAAAACGCAGTTCAATCAAAAAATTGCACTTGCATTTTGTGTCATTGTAAACCATTACACTAGCAGTACGCTATCACAAAATATTTGCACATGTCTTCTGGGTACAAAGTGGGGTGCAATTCTTGGGATATATAGTTTAATTCAGAGTAAATTCCAAAAAATATCCCCAGTTATAGTTCGTTTTACATATTTAGTCCCTACATATCAAATATTAATAATTTACTCCCCAGTTATTATATTGTTTTCCACGAATCGTCTTTTGTTAACATTTCCGTTTAAAACGTGGATAAAATTGTAAACTTACACTCCTCTCTCTTCTCAACTAAGCTTCCTCCCTACTCTCGCACTCCTTTTCCAAACCCGTCACTGAGTCCAAAATCGAAACGATCACTCCTCTCTCAACTGTACATCTTCTAGGTAGAGCCCAAAATCAAAACCCAATAACTTTCATGGGTGAGTTTTATGGGTTAGTCTCAGCGACGGGTTATGGTTTCTGTTTTGGGTTCAAAGCTTCAAACTCAGCGATGAGTTTGGGAAATAAGTGCGAGAGGGAGGAAGCTTAGTTGAGGAGAGAGAGGAGCGTGAATTTACAATGTTATCCACGTTTTTAATGGAAATATTAACAAAAGACGATTCGTGAAAAACAATACTCCGTATAATAATTGGGAATTAAATTATTAATATTTGATATACTCCCTCCGTCCCCCTAAGATCTTCTCGTTTTGACTTTTTACGGTTTTTAAGGAGAGTTGAAAAAAAGGTGAAATTTTACCATAATACCCTTAATGAAAATGGGTGGAGTGTATTAAATGAGGTGGGTGAGGTGTAAAAAATAAAGTGGGGGTAGTTGTGGTATTTTAATTGATAAAAAAGGTAATGAGAAGATCTATGGTGGACAAATAAAAATGGCTAATGTGAAGATCTATGAGGGACGGAGGGAGTATTTAAAATGAACTATAACTGGAGATCTTTTATGAAATTAATATTTAATTCATTGTCTTTTTTTATTATGACATTGCTCGCTACTAACCTGTTAATGTCTATACCCATTAGTCATTCAGCCTTTAAAAGTGCGAGTATGAAGCTATACTCAATTACGAGATTTCACCGAAATTATTTTGAATTTAATTTAATCAAAAAATGGTATAGAATTAAAAAATAAAATTTATATATATTTAAAATTACATTAAAAGGTATACAAAACAAACGTCACAAGACTATATTATTTTCTCAGGTAACAAAATTGATAAAAAACATGATTAAAATTTAGCCTTGTGAAAGTAAACATACCACTTAAATTAGGATGGAGAGTTTATTAGTTGTATTATTAGAATATTGATTCTATCCTTCTTTTGGATGACTCAATCAGGTCCAAATGCAGGAAATTTTCTAATAGTCATATAGGAAGTTGACCAAATTGACCCTTTGAAGATGGTATGTGTAAGAAGTAGACCAGGCAAAATAGTACCGGAACCGAATACCCGAACCGAAATATCCGAAACCAAAACTGATATGACCCGAAAAATGAAGATCCGATCTATAACCAAAAACCCGAAATGATCCGAATCGAACCGAAACCGAACTAAATAATTCATATCCGATTTAAATCCGAAACCGATTAGATCCGAAACTGATAATATCCGAACCGATTAAACCCGAAACCGATTATATCCGAACCCGATAATACCCGAAACCGATAAAACCCAAAACTGATTAGATCCGAAACCGATAATATCCGAACCCGATTAGAACTAAAATCGATAAATTCAGAACTATGTTTGCCTTTCAATAAGCATATTATATTTTTAAATTTTTACTTTTATTTTAGCATTTGAACTAATTACATTACTTGTTCATTTCCTCATAAAATGGATTATCTTCTTGAAAAAAAAGTACAAAATTTCATGCCTTTAATTTATTAGATCTAGAAATTAAAGATAAGCTATACATATAAATGATAATGCACGTTATAATAAATTTTATTGATTTGAGAGTTAATAAGTGAAGTGTGATATTCTTTTTGGGACGAAAGGAATATATGATGAATTGTATGGAATAACTAGATTTTATACTAATTTATCCATTATAATAAATTTTATTGATTTGAGAGTTATTTTGATTAGTTTCAAACCAATTACTCAATATTAGTCGATAAAATTAGATGCTAGTGTTATTATTTTGAAAAGACTCTCTAGCAGCAGCTTTTAGTATTATCATTTGAAACTTGATCTACACCATTATATTTAGGTGTAAATTAATTATATTTGACTCTATTAAATTTAATTTTATCTATTTTCAACCAAATACACTCAATAATTTATAAATTTTGAACTCAATTGAATAAAATTCACTTCATTTCACCCAATTTTACTCATTTTTTACCAAATTTTATTCAAATGGAACATAACACTATTGGAATTTATCTTTTGTCTTTTCATTTATAAACATAAGTATATTAGTAGATGTGAGAAAAATTTGATATTTCAAAACTAAATTTTTAAATCAATTTAATTATATTAAATTTATATCATAATTAAATATATATGTTTTCATAATTTGTAGTCCAAATTTGTAAAATATGATTAAAAAGTCAAAAAGGAAAGATTATTTAGGGTAGAGATAATATAATTAGAAAAAAAATATAAAATAGTACTCCGTATGAGGTATTGAATTGATGATAGATTGATAAATGTGGTAAAACATAAAAAGAAACACGGATAGTTAAATTTTAATTAGAAAATAATATATGTCCGAACCGAACTAGACCCAAAATATATCCGAACCGAACTAGACCCGAAATATATCCGACTCAAATTGTATCCGAACTAAAATCTATCCGAACCGATTTATAACCGAACCGTATCTAAACCGACTCGAAACCGAACCGAACCTAAAAATGTATAGAACTGAATCAAATCCGAACCAAAATTTAACCGATCCGATCCGAACCAAACCGATTAGAACATATAACCGAGAGATATCTGAATCGAAAAAATCCAACCCGAAACCGATCCGGTTGACCTGATTGCCACCTCTAGTAGGAATCAATGGTTTCAAAGAAATATACACGAGCAGTGATTATTATGTGTATGTATATGTGTATGTTAAACAAAAACATGCAAAGCTTGTGGCATTAACCCTAACTAACCCTTAATTTCATTGAGTTGCTGTGATTAACAAACTACACATTTCATGCCAAAAATTCGTCCTCATCACAAATACTATCATTTTAGCCTCCTGATTGTACGTGGGGGTCACTTATCTTTGAACCAAGGAAATGGATGTGCGAAACCAAAAGACGTTCGTAGGGTGGTTCTTCGGGAGTTTGTTCAGGTGCCTCCGAGGATTGGTTTTCCGCATTCTTTTCGCGGGCGTGATCCCCAAACACGTTGCATTCATCCTGGACGGAAACCGTAGGTACGCCAAGAAAATGAAAATCCCACTGGTGGTAGGCTATAGAGCAGCATTTCTTGCCTTGCTATGCATACTCAGGTCAGTCCCGCATTAATTTGTTTCATAAGCTGCGAAAATTAAGAAAAGTGAAATTGTATGGTTAACATTGATCTTCAAAAGTAGGAATAAATATAAGACACAAACATTATGAAATACAATATGAGACAAAAATAGTAAACAGAAGAATTAAGATTTAGGCTTTTTCAAACTTCTCACTTGGCGACTTGGCGTGAGTGGTTGGTAGAAAGCCCACTCTTCAAGATTCATTGGGAAGTTCACCTAGATTGAGTCCCAACAAAAGCGGAGGTATTGGCTCATTGTATGTCATTACGTGGAGAAAGTACGAACAGATACTATATTGTAATCAAGTCAATACCACTCAAAAAAAGATTCAGGCCTTTCCACAAATTAGTAGTAGTCCAATGGTATATATGTTGATTTGAATAATTACATAGGTTGGATGAATGTGGATGCTTAACAAATTAGAAACTTGCATTGCTCATCATCAGGTACTGCCATGAACTGGGAATTAAATACGTGACCATATTCGCTTTCAGCATAGACAACTTCAAGCGAAGGCCAGACGAAGTCCAGTCATTGATGGACTTGATGCTGAACAAAGTGGAAGGATTGCTCAAGTACCAGAATGCCTTAAGCCAGTACGGAGTGCGGGTGGTCTTCATTGGCAACCTGAGATTGCTCGACAAGCGATTCCGGGTATCCGCGGAGAGGGCAATGGACGCAACCCGAACCAACTCCAGCATCGTCCTCCTTGTCTGCGTCGCGTATACTTCCACAGACGAGATGGTTCACGCGGCTCAAGTTTGCTGCAGAGACAAGAGGGGAAGGTTGAAGGTTATGGAAGTTCATGGGAGAGGGATATCGAGGGAGGCGGAGAGGGTTTTTGCATTGGTTGATTTGGAGAAGCATATGCACATGGGGTTAGCGCCGGAGGTGGACATTTTGGTAAGGACCTCAGGGGAAACAAGGCTTAGTAACTTTCTCTTGTGGCAGACTTCTGGCTGCATGTTGTATTCTCCTAGGGCACTGTTTCCTGAGATTGGCCTTAGGCATCTGGTTTGGGCAGTGTTGAATTTCCAAAGGGTTCAACCTTATGTACACAAGAGAAGGACACTGGAGGCATGAAATTAACACATGTTTGTTTTTCTTGTTAATTAATACGTAGTATATATTGGGGGAAATGAGTTTTAAAAAAAATCAACTCGATTTTTCAAACAGGGTACACAAATAAATTAGATATCGTCCACCAATTTGGAGGGATTTTGGGAGAATTTCTATTTTCTACCTAAATCAAATTTACCTTTTTTCTTCAAATTTGCTCAACATTATAAATTCTGCACGTGTAGATTAATATATCTTTATCAACAATAAAATTCATATCAAATATGAAATCTTTACATATATACGTCTATTTAGAAAAAACTAATTCCCCCATTTCTGTTAACTACTTGAGCACTGTCGTATGCCACTTAGTTCATTCACAGTGCATGAGATATTCCCCAAAGCCAAATTAGTAGGGTAGATGTTTATAGTTGTTTAGCTCTTTATATAGCCGATGCTCACTTACTTTGCACCATAACAAATATAGAACATTTCATATATGATATATCTACTGTCTACAATATGATATATCTACTGTCTACAATTTTCGAATAATGTAAATCATTTGGGAATTGGGAAAGCCTAGAGCATGACACTGCATCACAGAGATGATGTTTGAACAAATCAATGAAACGATTCAATATGGAAGGTAAAAAGGCCAACAAATAACACTTACAGGCCAGATGCATAGGTTAGACGACGAGTCCTTGTTCCCTAGCTTTTGTCAGCCACTTCAATGTACTCTCCAGTGTGGTGTATGCGGCAACATCTGTCAAACTCTTACTATCCACAGCATAATCAAACACTTCATATGCTTCTGCAACCCTTCCATTCCTGCAGAGAGCGCGAACAAATGTTCCGTAAGACCCTTTCTCAAGCTTCATGCCATTCTGCTTCATTGTGCCATACAATCCAACAGCGTCTTCCAACAATCTTGCCTTGCATAGACCATGAAGTAACGTACTATACGTACAAGAATTTGGTTCACATCCTTTCAATTCCATCTCCTCAAGCAAAGATAATGCTCCCTTGGCATCCCCCTCGCGAGACATCCCATTCATCAATGAAGTGTACGTGACAGCATCTGGAACATGACCGTTTTCAACCATAACCCTCAAGAACTTCTTTGCCTGCTGAACCATTCCGGACTTAGAGAGCCCATAAATCAACGTATTATATGTCACAAGGTCAGGTTTCACACCTTCATCCAGCATCTTCTTATAAACACCCAACACCTCACCCCCCGTGCTCAACATACAATACCCCTTCATAATTGTATTATACACATAGCTATCAGGTTTGTAACCTTCCTTGCTCAAAACATCCAACAACCGTGTTGCCTCCCGGATATTCTTTTTATTACAAACATTATCTATCATAATGGTATAAGTGACCAGATCCGGCTTTATGCCGAACTTCGTCTTCATATCATCAACAAAAGCATTCATGTTGCTCACTGACCGATTCTTGGATAAATGCTTTACAAGAAAATTGTAAGTATTTGAATCAGGAGGTGAATTCTTACTACAAAGATCCTTCACCAGTTCAACGGCATGATCTTCGTGGCCCGAGAGGCAAAGGGTCCTAGCAGCAATATCAATTGAGAACGTATTAGGGGGGAACCCATTGGTATTCATCAAATTGAGTACCTGGTACACCGGGGACAAAGATTCTTCTGCTGATTTACAAGCCTGGATAAGAAGAACATGATAGGTAGACCGTTCGGGCAAAAATGGCGGGTGGGTCTTGACCATGTGATTCAAGAAAAAGATTGCATCTTGGAGGGTTGAAACCGAGGAGAAGGACTGAAGGACTGTGTTGTAGAATCTGAGGTTAAAAGGGGTGGTCTTCTTGCGACTGGAAATGAGAGAGGTGAAAAGGGTTTTGGCTTCTGAGAGACTAGGGGAAGTGAAGGTGATGAGGGGGGGCTGAAACTGTGAGTGAGGACTCTTCACTTCGGGCTTCTTCTTGGGGATTATTTGGGGCTTTGGGGAAAAGTATGCTGTTTTCTTCAGACTGGTTAGACCGTACTGGACTGGTGATCTCACTGACGGTGGCAGCTTCCCCATTTCTGCTTCGAATTCTACCAATTCCTAAGATGGGTACTCGAAGAATTCAGTTATTGATTAGGGTTTTAGGGTGTTTTATCCTTGGCAATATATGCCAATATCTTCTGCAAAGGGGCAAGAAGGTAGAGTGAATGTGTTTGGCCGGGTGGCGTTTGTTTTCGAAGAAGCGAGCCAAAATTTTATGCGTTAAGTTACTAAGTTTTTTTTTATATAAAATTAAAACGCATTCAATAAAGGAAAAATTGTCCAAAAAAATCTCAATTTTATTTAGTTTTTGAAAAATAAATCTATTTTTTACTGTCATGTATAATAATCTCAATTTTACTAAAATTTACGAGTATTGGGTTGCCGTTAAGTTACTAACTATGAGTTAATGGAAACGGCCTATTTTGCAAAACAAAATAAAAGTTATGATTATTTTTTATGAATTTTTTTAAAAACATTTTTCTGAAATTTTCATTTGAATTTTTAAAATAATTTGTTACTTCCATCATTTCCTTTTTTTAAAGATTCATCTAGTGTTGGATAAAATAAAAAATAGATATAAAAAAAACGCAAATGAGAAAAATAACTAAAATCTTACAAAATTAATGAAATAAATATGATAATCAATAGAAATTATATTAAAATTAGTGAAAAATAATATAAAAATATAAGGAGTGAAGAGTTTTAATATTTTACGCACTATACAAAGTATTAATGTACTACTTCGTATTTTTTGAAAGAACAGAAAAAAGTTGGAATTATTCTAAATAATTTTTCTAAAAATAAGAAGTGGTACACTAATACTCTGCATAGTACCTAAAATGTTAAATCTACCCCTTTGTATATTTGTATTTTATTCTTACCAGTTTCAGGTTAATTTCTATTGATTATCTTATTTATTTCATTAATTTTATATGATTTTAGTTATTTTTTTATTTTTAGAGTATTTTTTATTTAATCCAAAACTAGAACAATCTTTTAAAAAAGAAAAAAATGATGGAGCTAGAAATTTATTTTAAAAATTTAAATGAAAATTTTAGAAAAAAATTAAAAAATGAAAATTTATCAAGAATAATCACAACTTTCATTTTGTTGCGCAAAACAGCCGTTTCGATAAACCCACGTTAGTAACTTAACGGCGACCTAAAACTCACAAATTTTAGTAAAGTTTGAATTTTTATGCATGACAGTGAAATGTGAGATTATGTTTGAAAGACCAGGCAAGGTTGAAATTATTCTGAATAGTTATTTCTTAAATAGATAAAAAATACTATACAAAGTTTGATCAAAAATTAATTCTTTATATTTATTAAAATTATTTTTTCTTAAACATTTATTTTTTATAAACAATAAAATTATTAAAAAAAATTAATAAATTCTTTATATTAAATTTATAAGAATAAAAGTATTCAATAAATCTTTTATATAAAGTGATTAAACTTTTATATTTAGAAAGTTCATATATGCATTACTTATGTGGCTTTTTACACCTAATATGACACATAATTTAAGACATAAAAAATGAAAAACTATTTCGGTATGCAATCATTGAATAAATTTATTTATGAAATATTTATATTCATTTTTATAATAATACTTTTTCATGATTCAGTATTTTTTCTTCATTTCTAACAAAATTTTCAATTACTTAATAAACTATTTTCTTCGCCTCTAAATAAATTTTACATGATTGTTTGTTTATGATAAGTTAAAATGAAGTTAGTTTTGAATATATTTCTTTCAATATTAATATGAACTAAAAAACAAACAACATATTATAAAAATTACATTAATATTTTTTTTAAAAAAAAGAGACGGTTAAATTATAATAATGTTCAAGTAAAAAAAAGATTAGTGTACATAATTTTGTAAGTAATTATTTTAATTTTATAATTTTAGTTAATTACAAGAAAATTTATACTTCATAGGCTTTTATATGCTTTATCATCTAAATGTAAAAATATATTATTTTTATTAGCTTTTAGGATATGATAATTGATTTAAGTAAATTATATAATGTAATCGATTAAAATAAAATTTTATTTCTATATGTAATATGATTAAATGAATTATATTATTTTATTTTTTTGAATATAAAAAATAAAATGAAAAATAGCTCTAAATTAATACGGAGTATTCTATAAAACAAGAAGTGTCTAGATTATTTTTTTAAATGATCAACTGTTTAAATCAAACAAATTTAAAAAATATTTTCAAAGGCTTGAATAGTTTCTTATTCAAACATAAAGGAAAAAAGAATTGCTTGAGAGTTTGCCAAATGTATATATAAATTTCCATTCATAATCATAAGATTGCTAATATTTTTTTGTATTACTTTTTGTTTGAATTAATGCATTAGATAACAATCATTGAAATTTCAATATTTATTTAATTTGTTTTTAAATCATACAATGCATAATTCAAAATTTGCTAGCAAAGTGAACCGAGACAAATAATCAATAATGTTATTCAAGTTATTTAGACATTCCAATCTGTGTACCATATATACGTATGTGGGGTAAAGAGCACTTGCTATTTTTGGATTAAAAATTATATTTTAAGAAATATCCCTAGATATAGGTAAAAAATTATTAAAATACCAAAATATGAGTCTTAAGTCTTTTAATACCAAAATAATAGTATAATGACAGGGTAATGTAAGAGTATACACTGAGTGTGATGGAAAAGTGATAACAATAAGGGATGTGTTATAAAATAAAGAAGCACTATTTTTACATTGGTTTGTATATTTTAAAATTGTTTTACATTATTATTTTAAGTTAATTATTTATGGGAAAAAACCTAATACATCTTCATTACAAAGGACCACGTTGGTAATTATTACTTATTGAGAATCAATTTGAGAAAACACTTTAATAGAAATGACCATTTTGAGAATTTATTCCTAATTGTATAATCATGCTTTGTCAGTGACTCCTGTGAATTGTGAAACAAATCGGACTACGTTACTTATTTCCTGCCCACAATTTCTCCCCATGCAAAGCACATGTTATTACTAATTTAATCTGGCACCCATCAATCCAAACACCATTTCAATATCTCCACCAATGCCAATAATTTTCAATCCAAGGAAATGGACATCATCAGAGTAATCCAAAAGATAGCAGGGCTGCTCTTTGGGAGCATATTCAGAGGCCTGAGAAGGTTGGTGTTTCATGTTCTATCCGCGGGAGTCGTTCCCGAACACGTGGCGTTCATTCTCGACGGGAACCGAAGGTTCGCCAAGAAGAAGAAACTCCCAAATGAAACGGGGTACAGGGCCGGATTTCTAGCCCTAATGTGCATGCTCAAGTACTGCCACGAACTGGGAGTGAGACGCGTGACCCTGTTCATCTTCAGCATCGACAATTTCAACAGAGATCCCAGGGAAGTCCGGTTCCTAATGGACTTGATGTTGGGCAAGGTCGAAGCGATGCTCAAGTACGAGAATGTCTTGAACAAGTACGGAGTTCGGGTAGTGTTCCTCGGGAACCTTAGCTTACTCGAGGAACCGCTCCGGGCCGCTGCAGAGAGAGCGATGGATGCCACGGGTTCGAATTCGGGCATGGTCCTCTTTGTCTGCGTGGCCTATGCGTCTTCGGACGAGATGGTTCGGGCAGCTCGGGCATGTTGCCTGGAGAAGAGACAAGAGTTGGAGAGCTCCAAGGATGAGCGTGCTGGGGATGTGACGGTGGCGGACATAGAGAGGAATATGATGTGGACGGAGTTGGGGCGGGAGCCGGATATTATAGTCCGGACTGCGGGGGCGAACAGGCTAAGTAATTTTCTCATGTGGCAAACGGGTAACACCATGTTGTATACTACGAGAGCTTTGTTTCCGGAGATTGGGCTTCGACACTTGGTGTGGGCTGTCTTGAAATTCCAAAGAGCTCAACCTTTTTTGCACAAGATCAGAGTCCCTTCAGCTATGATGACCTAAGGGCACAATAATTTAAATGGGCCTTTTTATAATGGTGGTGAACAAGTGCTTATTATATTGATATTTTTTATTTTGCAAAAAAAAAAAAAAGAATATTTGGGATGGTTCACAAAAAATTGTAACTTTAAGTCATGCAAAGAAGCACGCATAAGTCATAATAGTAATATTGAATTGAGCTTTCACTCATTCTAGGAAGTCTATTTATATGAGGGAGGGGTGAGGGGCTAATCATGACTGGCTGACTGCAGGCGTCATGGGAGTAACGACTCGATTATCAGTGATGTCCGATTCTTTTCAACTTACTTCTATTTACAGAGTATACTTATGCTTATTACAATCAGATTATTTCAAATCAATAACAATTTTAAATTACACTACGGGTCCGTTTGATATGCAGAATTGACGAAATTGAAATTTAATTGAGAGTTGAAATTCTATGATTTGATTTGGATGGAATTGAATTCTCCAATTCCAACTCATTTTTGGCACTACCAATTCCAAACCCACATATTTTTGTGCTACCAAACACCAGAATTGCAATTCTTGTTCCCAACTCCAATCCAATTCCATAATTTGAATTCTGTGTATCAAACGGAGCTTACAATAACTTCAAAAGAAGGAAACAAAACCTCAATACGGAGCATTATGTAGGCTAATAGGCCTTCTCGGCCTACTCATGTGTCTACCGTTGTATCTCACTAATATTGGGCATGCTTATTATTTTATTCACCAAGCCTAATATACATAACATTCCATGTCACTACCAGTTTTGTCCTCAAAACTCATAATTTGCAAGGCACCTTTCTATATATTCTTTTTTGTTTCTACATGAGGGCACCAAAGAAAACTGACATGTCAATTTTTTACTACAATGGCACCAAGTCCATAACACCACACCGAAACTCTATCTCTGATCCGTCATTATTGCTGTCTTTCTAAGTACGGAGTAGATTAAAACAAACCTGCAAAGAGTACTATACTTTAGACGGGAATCCACTTCCCCACAGCTACTATAAGAATATAGAGCAATTCTCAAGGTTTGGTTAGTTCAAGCAATCAAGGTCAGTTAGCTAAACTTGATTCATCATATTGGAATCCTGACACCTTAGCCAGGTCAGATAGTTTCTGCTCTCCATTTAGGACCTGCAAGAAAGAAAAAAAAGTTGCATGTGTGAAACAAACATGTCTGAAATTTTGAACTTGAAAAGCAACTTGAATTTTGAAATAACCCATTGAAATTGAATGTTGGAAGAAAAAAATAACGCAAAAAAAGGAGACGTTGCATTAATAAAGATACGGGAAAATGTACAAGGTACAAGGAACAAATGTCGATGCCGATAAGAATTGTGTGGCAAAAGAAGGTCACCTGTCCATTAATCACCCACATTGGAAACCCCTCAATCTTAACAAGTTCGCATTCCAAAGCCATAGTGGTTCCTTTCTTCATCCCAGTAGGAAAGCATTCTACATAGTTCAATAGAGCTGCTGCTTCTTTCCCAAACATCTACAAAATGAAGGGTGCAATGTATGGAAAACTTCAGATGCCGGCCAGTTTTATCAGAAAAAAAAACATAGTATATGAGGATTTCAGCAGGGGCTTCCCTTTCATAAATATTAAGCATCCAGAGCTGTTGCTTCAGTTAGAAAAAAGTTCTTGACCAATTCTTAGCTAAAATGTTTTCTATTTTGAGAATATCTCCTATGCGTGTGAAATCCAACTGGGTTGTTGTTGTTGTCCTATGTGCAAGAACCCTCCCAATGCCTAAACATAGAGGACTAAAATAAGAAACATAGATTGAGTTAGATTCTTAGGTGCAAAATGTTGGGTAGTTAAAAAAGTCCACACCCGTCAAATGCATGCAACAAAGAAGATGTGAATGCTGCAGAGGATGTGTGGGCAAACGAGGTTGGATAAGATTCAGAATGAGGTTATTCACAAGTCGTGTGGTAGTGACACCTGTGGAGGATAAGCTGCGAGAGGCTAGGTTGAAATGGTTTAGTCATGTGAAGTGGCGTGCAATTGAGACCCCGATGTAGATATGCCAGAGGCTTATGATAGTAAGTAGGTGTGGGGGAAGGGGTAGACCTAGGAAAAAATAGGAGATGATTAAGAAAGACTAAAGACTTCTAGCTCTTAACGAGGATATGACATCGGATAGAAACGTCTCGAGATCTAGGATTAGGGTAGTTGGATAGTTGTTTGGACCAGGGTGGTGGTTTTATTCTTTTCGTGGTGTGCTTTGTAGGCATGGGGTGTTTCTCACGTCTGTTTGTGTGCGTGTGCCTTTTGTCTCTTGCGCTTTTCTTATCTCAGTATTTGCTCTTTGATCTTTTATGTCGTGCTATCTGCTCTATGTGTTGCTTGAGCTGGCAGCCTCTCTACTCCTAGTAGGGGTTAGGTCTCCATAACACACCCTCTCCAGACCCTACTTTTGTGTTGGGTTGTTGTCTGTGTCTTTCTTCAACAACTGTGTTCAGTTCAATCTCCGCCTACTCCTCTATTGTCGTGACCATATGCACATCAAGAAGCTATTACCAAGAGCCGCTAAAGAGCACAATCAAACAATCCAGTATTTATTTTGCAACCCAAGAATTCATGGTTGATGCTACACGTGCAAGTCACTGAGTAATGGTATAGTAATTGTCTATTCCATTACTAGTGAGCCATATCCAACTATGTGAAAATGATCTATTGGATTAGCTCTTAAGAGTGTTAGGTTTCGTGGGGTTATACTAATGGTCGCCTCTTTAAGACATGTACTCCACTAATTGAAGGCTTGCACTTGATGTCATTCGATCGTGGAAAGTTTTGGTGCAATGTATCTCTCTCCTCAAGCTTGAGGAAAAGGCTAATGTCCATGAGAAGTGTAAGTATGAGTTTCCTATTATAACTATTAATAACTATTTTTATTTTAGTTAGTATTATTGATAGCAATATTGTAACAGGTTAGAAACTCTATTAACTTGTTAACCAAGACTCTTGGAACTAGTTGGAAGTAGTATAGAATGAGAGTTACATTCATTAATAAAATTATCAATAGTTGAAATCAAAACCCAAATTATGAGAGCCTAATCACAAATTGCTCTCCCCTCCTCACAACAGGAAAGAAAGAATCAACCTCTTCTTCTTCTATGTTTACTAATGTCTTTATGATAAATTCCTTCCTATAAAAGAAAGAAACACTTTTTTTGGGACAAAAAAACGGGGAATCTTTTTATGGGGCAGACCGGCAGAGTATTACATAACTCTTTTCCCTCACAGGCCGACCCAAGATAACATTTTTAAATGCTGGATAATAAATATTTCATGCCTGGAAAGATTGGTTAGGTTAGACAAACCAGAAAGGTGAGGGAAGACAAGCATGTGATTCAGGCTATCTACTGCTCAAGTGTGCTTAGTTGAAGTGATTCTCTCCAAAGTGCACCATTCAAAAAATTGTGGTCCATGTAGTGTTAGCACCGACAGTTTGACAAGATTTAGTTTATCAGCCCAAAGGTGGGCTTCTCCAAGAATGTAGGATGTGGGTAAAAGTGTAAAACCATCTGTAGTTGTAAGGTGGTGTACTGTTCAATGAAAAAACATTCACAGCGTTTAAGCCATGTCATGGGTCAACTATGCCTTCACAGTGGAGCATTCTTCAGTGCGCAGTCACACAAGAAACTACTGTAACAATTAGACTGTGCTTATAAGATTGGGAATTATGGTATTCAAAGAGGCAATGGGGGTCTAGAGGTCCACCAAGATCCACTTCGCTTGTGTCGTGCTTTTGATGAAAGATTTCTTCGTACGCATAATGATGTTATGTGTGCCCATCGTATTGGATGATGAAACCAAATTGTTAAGTGCACATGCGCAAACCTTTGTTCATGGCTTAAACAAAATAGACATAAGAGTATAAGACAGAAGAAGGTATTAGCAGAAGAAGGCACAGGTTAATTGATTAGCACTGTTCGCCCTTGGCAAAGAGGGGAGGTACTCAAGTTTGTTAAAAGACAATAAATTAATTCTCCAAAAGTGTGTTTATCAATCTAAACTATAGACCCTTATACAGCTATTACAAGAGTCCTATTTTAAAAGGAATGAGATGAAAAGCTTGTAAGAATTTTGTATGGAAATTAACTGACTACCAATGGGCTGCAAGAAATGCGTCCTACACGTGACATGATTGACATTACTGGTAATTGCTACCAACAAGCATCTTTGTACCAGATCCACCACTTTGGTGATCCTCTTGGCTATTCAAACCTCAAACTCTCTCACCTTTAAAATTCAAAGGATATATCAGGCCTAAAGATTGGTCATGTGCCATGAATTGCACTTTCATTTTACAATACCAATCTCATAATGGAACATGGCAATAACAAATATCACACCTTATCCCCGTCTCATGATTTTTTCCATGTGTGTGGAAATATCCTATGACGATGAGGGTTTTAGAATTTTCATACCACTATTCCTTCTTATGAAGCTTGTGACTTGAAGTGCATCTGGCAAAAAACATTGCCACAATGCTTTTTGCATGAAATCTTAGTGTTAATGGGCCCTAAATCTAATGCTCTAAAAATTAACGCCATAGATCCCAACTAGTTGGAATTAAGATGCTGATATTGATATTGATGATGATGATAATATTCTGGACCAATGACCTAACCAGAATTCTCAATCCTCTACCTTTCCCCTCTGAAACAGCGTGTCAAGTCTCACAACAGGTAACACCAATAATTGTATATTTGAATGTCAGTGACATCATTAATGCCTTAAAGTACAATAACTATGTAAAGGAATCAAAACAACTAGAAGTATGAATGAGCTGTTCTAAAGTCAAATAAATTCTTGAACAATAAGCAGGTCAGCAAAAGACTATGTAACAATGTATTGATATTCATAACGTTTCATAACAGACTGGAAGCTTCTAAATAGGTAAAATGGAAACTGGAAAAGTAGATATACTAAATATGATGACCACTCTTGAAGAATGGTGTTACCTGTTTCTGGTCTTGACAATGCAAACACCAGAAAGCTCCATACATTCTTGCTCCAACTGAACTTAGATGTTTTGCTAAAGATATAGCATAAGGACTTGAATGAGTTGTGATCTCAGTGGTGAAGTATGGCAGCTCAGCTGCCTCAGAACTGTTTTAAAAATAGAAAATATAATTAACATATCGTTTATACATGTTTCATGAAATGTCAACCACTAAGGAAAGTCTCAGAATCAAATTTTGCAAGAAAGTTCTGAATATCCAACAAATTATAATTGACATTCCACAGAATATATGTTCACAGCATTGGGCATGTAGAAATTTGAAATTGGAATTGAAGACAGATGGCCATAGTGAAACCTCAGTCACCCTTAAATCATTCAAGTTAATTTAAGGATGTTTCTTTTGAGGGACCATATAATAGTGAACACTTTACACTTAAAATCAGCCATCCAGCGACTCAGTGAGGTGTAAGCCTGGACGGATTCAAGAGGAATGGGCTATTACGCAGGAATTTATACAACAACCCAGTTGAATCCCACAACAGTAGGGTCTGGGGGAGTAGGGTCTGGGGGAGGGTGTAACAAATTAAATAAAAGTAACAAAAAAAACAACAATGAGAATAGTAATGATGGTGATGGCGACGGAGATCGTTATGATAATTATAATAAAAAACACATTCAAACACATTCTTGTTTTCTAAAAAAGAGAAAACATTAAGACAATATGACATAAAAGGATAATTATGCATTTAAACCCATAATAAAAACATAAAACATTCTAACAACTAAATAATTAATCTTCAAAACTTAGAGCATCATCCATTATACTATAATCTATACTTGTAACTTCACCCTTATATCAATCTCCTAACATATCACATATGACAACCCTCATCATATTCATAAATCCCACTTAAGCATTTAGAATGAGCATTGAGATTAAAAAGAAAGAGAGAAAACAAGATGAGAGAGAGGTAGGGAGTGTTGTAGAAAATTAAAAAAAAGAGGGAAAAAATCAATTACAAAGATATAAAGAGATTAAACTGGTGGCTGTTGGTTGGCGTTGGAGAAATACTCAATTTTTGGTGAAGATGGAAAAAAAAGAGGCAAGCTCCTAGGGAGACACCATGATTGGAGGAGACTAAGAGCATGTCCTCTTCAACTTATTCTTATTAAAACCAGTTTGACCATATCAGAAACAACTTTCAATATAACTAGAATCATATCAAACTAGACCATTTCAAACCAAAATAGATCAAACTATACGTTAATAAATATCATATCAGATCCAATGAGATCAGATGAAGAGAACAAGCTCTAAGAGTTTGGAAAGCAAGCTTTAAGAGCTTGGAGAACAAGCTCGAGCTTGTTCTCTTCATGTGATCTGATTGGTTTTGATCTCAATTTATTACGGTTTGATCTCATATGAATCTTTATGGTCTGGTTTGGTCTGATTTGATTCCAGATAACATTGTATATGTTTCTAACCTTCTATTTGATCTGAACTGAATCTTTATAATCTCATCTCAATTATAAAACAAGCCCTAAGGAAGAAATGAAGACAGTGGTTAAACACTTGAATAAATAAATAAGGAGAGGACAAGACTTGTGTCTAAAAATTACCAAGGCCCAATAGCTTCAAACATTTAGCCCAAAAAATTTTTAAAACTACCCCTCTAAAGAGGGCAACGACTCCAGATTTTTCTCAATACAATAAGGCATTAAGGCTTAAACTTTAGTACTCTGCGAGTCTGGAAGTCGGGCACCTTAAAGTGTAACCCCTGTTTAAATCAACAAAGGTTTAAGCATTATGGATGTTTTCTTCATGCCATTGCACCTCATAGGCATAACCCTAGTGCAACTTCTCAAATTATGGAGTATTCCTATACAAAGGAAAATTGTTTTTTGCCATAAAAAAGGGGGAAGTGATTTTCCATGAAAAGCATTCCCACTGATATTTTGGATAACCAAATATTGGAAAAGACATAACTCACAGAGTTTCTGTTCCAACCCAAAGCTATAACCTGATTGCATGGAATGGACTACTTGAGTGAAAGGAAACATGGGAGCAAAACGTGGAATTGTCTAATGCATTCATTGGAAGGTACTGCTACCACCTTTGGCCACGGCAGCTGATAAGGAAGGAGGCACAACTTTTGTGATGGAATTATATAATTCAAGCATCTACTATATTGTTTACAATTAGTTATTTTGTTAGGACTCTTTCATTCAGCGATCAGTTATCAATTTGGCTTCCGGTATTAGGCAACAATCCTTGTTTCCTTATCACCTTATGATTGTATGCCTCCATAAAAAGAAGGCAATCTAAACCTGTTAACACATATCGGAATAAAGATTTAAGTTTTTTCTCCTGTCGTGGCTCACCCTTTAATTTGCTCTCTTTTGTTGTGTTCTTTTCTGTGACACCATTTGGAAGAGTTCTTCAAACCTATGATGAGTAGTGTAACTAGCAAACATAATAATGTCAAAATAGGTGGGAATGATGTGAAGACCAAAGGTACCTTTCTTCCATGTACATAACTCTTCTTATAGATAAAATTCTCTAGTCCCACGGGAGAGTAGTTTAGAATAGTGTAGAGGTGATGATTCCTAAGATTATGAAGTGTTCAAGACAAGCATTCCCTACCACTAGATGAAGTTGATTCCTTCCACACAATTAGGTGTGCAAAGTACAATAAGTGTAGGACTCATTCAGGTGTAACCACCAAACAATCGAGCATCCAAGCATTCAAAGTAATCCTATAAAGAGTTATCTTGCCTTCATTAGTCTTTCTAAACAAACACTCACACTCAAAACATGTTATGAGGCCAACTTAACTAGTGGAAGAGGTTGATAGGAGCTAAAGCTTCACATGACAATTGACAAATGTTACTGCCTGCTAACCTTGTGAGCTGAGGGGCATGCTGATTATAGGAACTATGTAACGCAACAACCACCAATAGCACTACAGATAGCTGTAAAACCAATTCTTTTTTCATTTCCTTGATACCCAACCCCTGTATCATAAGCCAAAATCGTTCTCAGAAAAATGTAGCACAGAATGGTTTACATAAATTATAAATCCCAAACACGGCAAACTGCATGTCAAAAATAATACCTTTAGAGTGACATACAATAAACTGAAGGATAATACAGAAGATGTCAAACAATATAAACACCACTCCCCAGGGAATTTCGTATTTAGGATGTACAAAAAGTATGCACTAGCAGCAGCCATAGAAGTCGTCGTGCCAAGTAAAAGAAATTGCGCATTAGCTTCTTCAATTCCAAGTGGCAACCACTTTCTTCCTAATTGCAGCCCAAGTACTGCAACTAATCCATATGCAACCATACCCATCAATGGAAGTGGAACTCCTGCCACAAGATAAAGGTGAAGGCTGAAGTTCAGTTGCTAACATAATCTCTTGGAAGTATTCTGCCTGAGGGAACACGAGTTTAGGAGACTCACAAAACCAGAACATAATGAAAGGTGGCATGCAAATGAAAATTGATTCGACCTCAAGGAGTTCAAAATGCTAAAACACGATTAAAGGTTGCAATAGCATAGAAAATGAACACGATATGAACTTAAGGCGATTACCGAATACAAGCGAGTAGCTGCTGTTAAGCATGTTGCTGCAGCTGCCACCAACAACATGGCAAAAGGCATCAGAACCAGAGAGCTTGGCGTGTGTTAAGTAAGAAGTTTCCAAGAACCCAATCCCCCCTAGGAATGCACACCAATTGTATGAAGAAATGCTCGAATCACTGGTAGGAGGAGACAATAACTCCATCTTGGATTCTTTTTCAACGTCAATATCTTTATCCGACGAGGAGCGCGATCGGAGCAAGACCAATTCCCGATGGCAAACGCCCTTCATCAGGAGATAAAATGAGAATAGTGTTAATACTGTATACTAACCAGTAGATAAGTCTGTGGAGAAGATGGGTACCTTGAATTGCAAGGTGGGTGAGAGTGAATTGGAACGAGAGAACAAGAGAAGAGACGAATTATTGAAGAGGGGAGAAGATGAAACGCTGGTTACACTCGCCATCAGCTCCTCAGTCGACTGGTGGCGGGACTGATTTGATCACATGTCTCAGCCGCTCGGCAAAGGTAAGGAATGTCTCGCATATTCTTGTCAGCCGTCCAAGTTCCAGTTTTGACTTTTGAACTGTTCATCTAAGCAAACTCATCAAATTCTCTCAATGTGTAAGCCTAAATGTAGTCATGTGTGATGTTTGATTTGTCTTAACATATAGATTATTAATATAAAATTTCTATAACTTTTTAATATACAAATTACAAGATAAAATGGATTAAAGAAATGCATTGGATGGTGTGTAAAAATGAAAGTGGACAAGTACTCTGGGATGGAGGGAGTAGTATTTTAACCCGTGCAACGCACAGGGTGGAATGAATTTTTTGTTTTGAATTTTTTATTTTTTCTTCGCTACAACATTTTTAAAAAACAAAAAAATAAAACATCAACCTTAAAAGTTAACATATGATAAAATATACTTCATTCGTCCCACAAAACCATTCTCCTTTTGACTTTGAAAAGATATAAGGGGAGTATATTTTGGTGTTGAGTAAATTAATAGTGAAAAAAAGTGATGTGAAAGACATGTTAAGAATTAGTTGGGCTAAAAGTGGTTTTTAATAGAAATGAGAAAGGTTTTTTGGGACGATTGAAAAAAGAAAGGAGAAATGTTTTGTAGCGCGGGAGGGAGTATTATATTTGCTAATGAAAATTATACTGTATATATATTTGAAATTTAGCATGTCATGCTCTTATTTAAATTAGAACATTTTAAAAAATTAAGGTATATACTCCCTTAGTTCATGAGTATTTGTCCATTTTTTACTTTTTTTTAGCCAAAGTTGGTAAGCTTTGACTTCAAATTAAATAAAAATGATATTAGATATTGATACAAAAAATAGTATTATAAGATTTATTATATCAAATATTTTTTAAAATATTATTTTATCTAATTAATAAACAATCGGAGTTTATTACACAAAATTGTATGATTTATACTCAGGGACAAAGGGAGTAACAATTTTGTATGATTTATAAGGACTTCTAAAAACATCTAAAACTTATAATATTAACCAGACTTTTTTTCTTACTCACTAAATAATAATATTGGTAGAATTATTAAGAGCATCAAACACTTCGTTGCAATATGTTTCCACAATGATATGCCTCCAATATTTGTTCTTAATCTAGCATAAATCCTCATTTACTTCAATTACCTCTGGTTCTCTAGGTCTAAAATATCATCTACAATGCAAATTATGTAAAGTGATTAAAGCCGTCAAGCAATAAAATCGAAACCGAGACCCTATCGGCCAATCGCGTCGAAGCATCCACATTAATCTTGAGATAGACATTATACAACCGTCATTCATAGACAAAAATATGACTCTCCCCACTTTAGTTTAGATTATCAAATAAAATTGATTCATCTCCCCACATTAATATGATTATCCTCCCTCATATTGATTAAAAATATTATTTTTCTTTCCACGGATTAATTAAAAAAATATAATGTGGCTCTATTATTATTCTCCTTGCATTAATTATGATTCAAAGAGTATGATTCTTCAATTTTGTACCACTGCATTAATTTTGATTAGCAAAATAAATATTAATCATCTCTCCCGCACTATTATGATTTTCCTCTCTTGCATTGATTAAAAAAATATTGGAATGATTCTTCTCTCTGCACATGTCAAAAATAAAATTTTAGATTAGCAATCCTATGATTCAAAAAATAAAAATAAAAAATAATTAAAAATCCAATGATTCTATTCATTAGCATTATTTTAAAAAATTAAAATAAAAAAATATTAGCGATGCTATGATTTTGAATAGAAATTTACAAACATATTTGATACTATTGATATAATGATAGTTGGTTTTTTTGTGTTTTTTCTTTTCATTTGAATACAAAATTACTCTTTTTTTAAATTTATTTAATTTAAATATTTGATCATTTTGAAAATAGTCTAGTCGTTTGCAGTATTTTAATGTAGAGATTAAAATATATTTTTATATTTTATTTTATATCAATATTTTATTAGATAAAATCAAAATTAACTTCATTTGAACATGTCATAAAAAATATGACTTCTTAGGTGTTATCAAAGTATCTCTTTTTAAGGAAGAAAATCTCATTTATTCATTGATAGTTTTATTATAAAAGTTGTGAAAAAATATAAAATTAGAAAAATATATACCATAATTGAATATACTAAAGAATGTTGTAATCATAAAGAACGTTAGTATAAACATAGTATGTAATGGTAATACATTTTTTTATGAATTTTTAATTATAATTTAATTAAAAATATCATATTATACTCCCTCCGTCCTAAAAAGATTAACATGTTTCAAAAAAATTGTGTCCCACAATCCCTTACCCATTTCTATTAAACCCTTTTTAAACCCTACATATCACATCATACCTTTACTTTTTCAAACCCTACATATCACATCATACCTTTTTCCTAATAATCTACACATCACATCATACTTTTACCCATCACATCAAGGGTATTTTTGGAAAGTCAACACAAAATTATCCCTCCCTTAATTTCTACTTTAGTCAAAACGTACCCATCATATCTTTATGGGACGGAGGGAGTAATAGATTTTTAAAAATATTATATTTTTCAATTTAAATCGTAAATAATCTAATGACTTTAAACCATAAATTTTATATTAATAAAGTCAAATCATAAAATCAATATATTCGAACTATTAAATAATGTATAGTGTTTTTTCTATTCTAATATATTTATAGTTTAGTCATCTCTTATTTTATATATCGTTTAATGTAGTTTTTAAAATATATTGTTTGTAATTAGCTACCATTGTACGCCAGAATTATTTAACGATTATAATCCCAAAGAATCGTTGGGTTCGTAGTTGTTATGGAATGAAATCTTCATAATCTATAATCTCTTTCCTAATTTGTGTTCGATTTCGCCCAGAAAAGGAAAGGAGATGATGAAGGAATTTGGGAGAAGAAAAGGAAAGCAGCGTGTGACTCTCAGCGTATTAGGAATTTGTGTTCGTAGTTTTCTTTTTTTTTTTGGATCTGCGTGATTTTTTCTTTTTTTTTTTCCTTTTTGGTTTAGGTTTCATGACACATCATGTCACCTTCCACATCATTTTTTTCTTCTTAAAAAATGACACATTAGCCTCACCACATGTCGCGCCACAGCTCCGCCAAATGTCGCATTCCTGCAGCTCCGACTCTGCTTTATATATATATAATAAAGGATTATTCAGAGTCTCAGAGAAGTCTGAGTTCGATTCTTGTGAGAGAGAAGCAAGTATGTTATGTTTATGTTATTTATGTACAGTGCTTTCTATCAATACTTTTCTATTAAAATCGAATTTATCTCATTTCAGTAATTGTCTACTTATTCTAATGGAGTTGTCACGATGAGATATACCCATTAGAAGGTATGTTTTTCATTTACTTTATTCCAAAAGCTGATTATTATTTTTATAAAGAAATGATCATAATTGATAACCAATGAAGAAAAAAAGTATATTTGAAATGGCAAATTTGAAGGGGTATTGACAGTATCTCCAAATTGGAAATTTTTGCCATTCCATTAGAATGCAAAAATATGTGAAAACTGAAAAAGGGAAGCCAAATTTTGAAGTTAACTTGCTTGTTGCTTCTTTTTTTCTTTAACCTTCTCACTTTTGGAAAGGGATTGATACCTCTTTAAAAAGAAAGAAGGTATTTTACCCATAGTTTTAAAAACCGGACCGGACCGGCCGGTTCGAACCGTGAACCGGCGAACCGATGGTCCAACCGGTCCGGTCCGGCTCATTGGACCGTAATGTGCTTCGAACCGGTCTGAACCGGTATGAACCGGTAAGAATCGGCCGGTCAGACCGGTCCGACCAGTTTTTTTTTTTTTTTTTGCAATTTTTTTTCCAAAACTTCACTCCATGGAGGTTTGAACCCAAAACCTCTTAGCTATTTGGTTGAGTTCCTAACGATCCAACTAACGGTATTTGTTGTTTCAAATTCGTATAATTTTTTTTAATATTTCATAATTAATAAAAAGATTGTATAAAAATTACTTTTCAATTTTAAAAATATAATACGTAGTATTATATGCTATGAGTCAAACACAAAATCATTGATATGTTTTTAATAAAATTTTAATATTATTTTTAACATGTAAATTTTATCTTTTAATTTAGTAAAATAACTCAAGTATGTTAATATAATTTTTGTCAAATATTATAAATTACTTTTTTTATGTATTATATACATACATACATATATATATATATATATATATATATATATATATAAATTTATTTATTTATTTATTTATTTAATTAATTTTTAAATATGTTTGAACCACCGGTTCGACCAGTTGAACCACTGGTTCGACCAATGAACCAGTGAACCAGTACCTTGACCGGTTCGGTCTCCGGTCCGGTTCTCAAAACTATGATTTTACCTCTACATTTACATTCACGCTTTGAATGGAAAATATAAGAAAAGAGAATTTAAATTTGGAAGTTATGAGGAATGCCTCCTCATTTAGTTTCCCCATTGGAGTTACTTTACTTATCAACAGTTGGTCACACCGTCACACCATGTATATTTACACTTTAACCTCGATTGTTTGTCAAAATTTAATGTCAAAATTGGTGCAAATCAGACTTTGCATCATTCATTGTAGAAAAACATCTTGCGATAGTTATTGAAGCGACCGAGAAAACTCATCTCACCATAAATTGAATAAAATTTTTGAAGAAGATTTACAACACAATAAATATAAGTTCACGTCCATCATGCACGTTGGTTAGCCATCATCTACATTTTGAGCTATCTTTCTCAAGGGATAGCTCAAAACACCATCCTATATAGCAACAAGAGAAGAAAATGAAGAAGAATGAGAAAGGATGACGAACAACCAAATGAAGATCATTTGAAGGAACGCTTAAGAAAAAATATGTGGATAACTACATAGACAAAAAAGAGAAGTTCATCAAGCTCAATCTATCAAAAAATAAACTTTTACTTCTTCCTGATGAGTTATTAAGAGTAAAGATAGAGCACCTCGATCTAGCTTTTCTTTAGTTGGAGATCTTTAATTAGTTCAGTTAATTAAAGGGAGGTCACTGGTGTTGTTATGTGTTGGAGAAACTTAATTAACGACTATTGAAGAAGGAGCAAGCAGCTTCGGAGGAGTA